AGGCTAGGTCAAGCTAAGGGGTTGCCAAAATATCACAACTTTTCTTACTTGATCCTCAAGCCAAAAAGGAAAAGGGACGCCGGGTAGGGGCGCGGGTCGGCCATGGCTAAGTGACTTGGGCCGGTTTTCCACGGTTCAACACTTTGGTTAAAATGCTCGACTCGGATCAACGTAAGATAAAATAAAAACCGGACAAATATATATGTTTATAATACACATTATATTTAATATAATTTTAGACAATTAGACAAGTAATGACAAATAAATACATAATAATAATAATATAAATAGGCAAATAATAATGGCAATAATAAATCAATAATAAATCCCAAATAATTCTTATTCAAACGGGGTATTACAAAAATTATCCCACGTAACACTGTTAAAATACGACTTTTAGTTTTTCAAAACCAGTTGTAAAAATATTTTATAAATATTTATAAATATTATAAATACTCTTACTATAAATACATATGTAAGATTGTTATTATATACTAATATTCGACCATGTGCATTTGTACTTGTGTGAATAAAGTATTGTGAGTTACTTGTATCCATACAATGATTAATGATTTTTCTCACTTTTTGCATGCCAAATTTAAAATTAAAGGAGTTGGGATATTTTGTTTTCTTTTTTCAAATTGCGTTTATTAGATTGGATGTAACGTATATTTTGGTAAGTATTTTTTTTTGTGAATTATTTATTATTTATTTAGGAATTTCAAATACATTTTTTTATTCTGCAAAAAAAAAATAATAATAATAATTTAAATGTAACAACAATAATAACATCTAATCTCATTATGCGGTCAACACTTTATATGGTCAACTGTCAGTAATCAAAAGTTTAAAATGATTTTTTTTAATTTTGAAGTGATTAGTGTGTTGATTATCTAATAATAACATAAAAGGTTAAATAAATCAAAAGTAACGGTTTTTGGAGAGAAAATGTAAAATTACCATGTAGGCATATTAAATAGATTTTATTTAATGCCAATTATATATATATAGATATTATAATATATTATACATTTATAATATTATTTATTTTAAATTCTAAATAGAAATATTTATTTTTTAGTGGCTTTTGAGTAATTACCAATGTCTATTTCTTCGTAAGGACATAATTGCCCATACATTTTTAATGAGTGTCCAAAATTCAAGTGCCATCTATGTCCTTCTCTTTGCATTATTTTTATTAAGATTTTAATAGTCAACACTAAATGTAGGAGAGAGTTTGGCTATCCACGTCACACTCATACACCCCTCTCAACCTCCCTTTATTAAGATATAGAGTAGAGGGAGAGCTTTGCCGCCCTTGTGGGAGAGCTTTGCCGCCCTTGTGGTCCTATCCGGCTCGATTCCGGATTAGTCGGTTCCCCTGTGGATCCGGAAACTGGAAGGTCCCTGTACCAAAAAAAAAAAAAGATATAGAGTAGAGGGATCTAGTTCGGGCTTACAAACCAGGTCCAAGAGCTATATACAAAATCAAGTCCATCTATATCACAAAAGCTCATGACCATCCCCCTTCCAGCACAGAAAAATTGAGAGAACTTGAATATTTGACACTCGCCTAAGACTAACAGAAACCACACACCCATACATCACTCATCTTACACCAACATAGGGAAGAATTTCCTCAATCAGTTTTCTCAAAATTAAAGGCTCCATTCATCATCAGATTTCCATTTTCCTATAAAAACCAACACCGAAAATCAACTGCGCAAACAAAAACGCCGCATTTTTAACCCCTCGCAAGCATAACATCCAAGCACTCTAAACGATCAATTGGAACTTTCTTGCTTTCTCGGCTAAAACCCTCTAATGTGTGTTTTTCCCTACAGCCAACTTGATTCAAATGCATAAACGCGAGCATGCTGATAGCAAACAAGGCGGCATTCCCCATGATCCCAACAGCACGATCAAATTTAAGGGACTTGGAAACAGAAGTAAAGCCTGAGATGAAAAAATTGAAAAGAGCATTTGGGTTCTTCCCTTTCTGTGGCCCAAAACTCTGGCGCGACGGACAAGGGGTCGAGCCATACAGATTTTCGGGCGAAACGAGTCGGCTGGCGTCTCGTACATCGCCTATTAAAGCAAGCGCTTCTTCAATGACTTTGTAATTCTTCCCCTGATGTTCAGCCAACCGCATTGCAAGGATAATGCGGCTCTGCTCTAGACGGGCAACCGCTGCTTCTCTCTCTGCTCGTTGCTGAGTTTGCACGGTCTGTAGATCGTAATATAAAGTTACATGTTAGTAGCAGCTTTATAGAAATAGTGCAAGAGAAAAACCTCCAGGCAGGTTATGTCAAAAATTAAGGGTTAACAGTTGTACAAGAGAAAAATCGCCAAACTGATTCTGTCAAATTGAAGTTTGAAGTAATAGTATATTCAACACATAAAATATATTATCTAACTAGCGTTATAATTACAAAACAGAAGCAGAAAACATTTAGGACTGCCACTCCAAAAGTTACAAAATATATTGCAGTTAACTCTTCATCATTAGCACTGAACCAAACTTCATGAATAATTTTGTAATTTTAGTAGGTGTTTTTCACAATAAGGTTTAGTATCAACATTGTAATTATTCCTCAAATCAGTTACCGAATTCTAGTGAAATACCATCACTTTAGTTTAAGTTGATGATGGATTCTGCCTTTTCTTCCACAACCATACAAACCAAACACTTATAAATATTTAGAAAATGATTAAGAAATCAATTCTTTGGAAGATAAATGAGCTGTAGGTCAGAATCACAAGTAACTCAATGACAGTAACACATTATATATCATACGAGCTGCCTCAGCTACAAGCCGTATCAAAGTACACTCATTGACTAAAACGACAATACATGTAAGATATAAGAAAAATAATCATTGGCCTATAACACAATGCAGCCAGTAAGCACATTAACAATGTAAACTTGTTAGGCCAACTCTGTCTCTAACGCCTAGAAAATCCGAGTTAGTACCACTTATTGCATGTAGAGCACTAGATAAGTTCACAAGTTAAATTCAACTTCATCTATGAATGATTTCCATTATCCACTAATTAAACGATATTTTGCATGATTTTGCAAACTATTAAGCTTATTTTACTAGGTTTGAAGAACCAAATACAAGACCAACAACTGAAATGTGATCACTTGTCCCTGTTGTAAAACGTACAAAGTCAACTCTTAAACCCAGAAAATGGAAATCCATTAGTACCAATTCATTTGTAGTTTCTCAATCGTAATTTCAAACCGAAATTCACAGAACCAAATAACCTTTCACATTAGCAAAACCTGCGAACAAATATCTCATATTATACTGTGATTTCGAACTAAAATTCACAGAAACAAATAGGCTTTAGCATTAGTGACTGGCATTTGTGATGCAAACAACAAAACGTTTTGTATCAAACGAAAGTCGTGAACGTAAGCTAAATGTTCAATTACAGTATTATCACATTATAAGTCCAGACACCAATAACAAATTGATCAAACTCAAAGCCTTCTCCAAACAGCTATAGTAACACGTTCCACGTATCTTCACAAAAAAAATGAGCAGAAAACTCAGAGAAACAAACAAAAAATTTTCAAACTCACATGGAGAAACTCCAGCTGGTCCTCCAGATTCTCAAGCGCGGTGCGGATGGCGTACAAGCTCTTCGTCTCCTGAACCGCCGGCTCATCCTCGTCAGCCCGGTACTCCTTCACGAACACAAAACCCGGCCCGACCTTGTTCTCCAAGTCATCGTCCCCGGATTTCTTCTTCCTGGGACAATAAATCTCGCCGGATTTCCTGTTCTTCACGGAATTCAAGAAATGAGCACGAGAAATTGAGTGTATGGCGTCGCTGAGCTTATCGTGAAGATCCCAGATTTTCTCAAGCACGGCTTCAATTTCATCTACCTCCATATCTCCCATCTCATCTCCGAAAATTCAAGATAAATGGATCGATAATAAGGAGAAATGGGAAAAATGCTTTGAGTGCTGGAGGAGGGAAAGCATCATCATAAACATATCATATAGAGGGAAAATGTGAATCAGTCAAATAAGGAAAAAGAAAGTTCCAGTTAGGGTTTGAGCGGCATTTTTGGAGTAGAGGGAGATGACGACTGATGAATAATAGTGTGCGATTTTAGTATGAATTGTATGGAACCGGAGGAAGTGGAACAAGATGAGAGTGAATGGGGGCCCGAGTTTGGGTTTTTCAATGCTTTTAGCCTGTAGTGCTATGTGGTGCTTTGCTTGTTGAATAACCAACGCATTTTTTCTTTTTTTTTTT